AAAGCTATACAGGGTGTTTTTTAAAGATGGGCCATAGAAAGTACACACCTATCATACATCATAACCTCTAAAAAGCATTATGCGGGTCACTCTGTAATTGGGCGCAAGCATGTTGAGGACACAGAACAAGAGAGGGATAATAAATAAATAAAAATAAAGACGATTGTTCTCAAATCTTGGCCTTGCGCGTAGTTATTTCACTGACACTTCTCGATCTGATCCTTCGAACTGCATCAATGAAGCAGTAATAAACCTCTCGCTAGGAAAGATTGCCGGTGACAGAACACTTGATCCCGGTCTACAGTCTATGTTTTTCTAAAGATGTGAGCGATTTCCATGATAGTATCGTGTCAATGCTGAACAAAAAGACTTTTCGTTTAACATTGGCACGATCCTATTCCGGAAGTCGCTCGCATCTTAAGAAAAACATAGATTGTAGATCGACACAAGGTGTGCTGTGACCGGCAATCCTGGTGAGAGTTATATGTCAGTATTCCCGATTCCGCCGCTCGAAAAAGTGATTATGTAGTACAATACAATTTGTACAAAGTAGCTGAGTGGTAATGCGAGCTATTCAGTGCCGAGTGGCGAGTATCGGGTATTGTTTGGTTGTCGGTGGAAAACAATTCGATCGCCGATTGTAATCTTATACGTTTATATCTGATTTGGATAAATTTGTTGATTTAGAAACAATTTCTACAGTACTGTGGCAGATGATTCGCGAGGAAGCTATGAGTGAAACAATTGGCGCAATGTAAATTTCCCTATGGCCCATTTTAAATAACTCAACGCCTTTACATTGTCGAATGGCCCATCTCATCGTCTCTTATTTCGAAATGAAGACAATTTATTGTCCTGAAACTTTCATCAAAAGTGTTCAAAGTACACTGAGTATATGACGGCCAGTCTTGGATGAAAACGACCAGTATACATTACTTCAAACTTTGAAGGCGCCTGGCAAAGCGTAAGGCCCCACTAAATGGTCTGGCATACTTATTTTTCTGCTGATGTAATAAAAATTTGAAAGTGCCTCAAGAACATTTTTTGAAAAAAAATTCGTAGATATCTTTTAAAGTATAAATGGTTGATTTAGCCCTGCTTCTCGCCAGCCAGGTCTGCATCTCTGTGTTTGGGTATTATTGGAGAAGTATTGGATACATTTTCAGCGTACCTCAAATACCTACCCAAAAATGTCTACCAACTCTCCAGTTATTATGTGTACTGGATATCGGCAGGAATGGAACATTCGTCTATGCATTGTTATTTGATTATCAATAGTAATATAACAAGGGCGACACATGCTTACCGATAATTTTGCCCACGCGAGGAATCACGAGTGCTGGTTGCACTGAAAACTAGTTTTCTAAGGGCAACCAGTACGAGGATTCTTCGCAAGGGCAAAATTATCCGTAAGCGTGTCGCCCGCGCTTATATTCTGCAGATAATTTCACGAAACACCGTAGAGATTGTGATTAAAAATCGGGTGAATATTACCGTGAAATTCTAGTTGCTTGTTCTATTCAGCATTTCTATAGCAACTAAAACAATTTATACCAACAAATCTCAAATTTGACCAGTGCGTCGGTTATTTATAGTAATACACCTAATATTCTGCGCGAATCCTGCTTTCTGCTGGACAAATATGAGCACTACGCGATTCGGTGAGGCTTCCAAAGCTACTATTAACGTGGCTATCGATCAAGTGACGCCAATAAATACTAAGAGATCGAATGGTTACGTATGGAAGCAGTTTCATGAATTTTGCGGACAACGAGGTTACGAATTAACAAGAACGATGCCCACCACAAAACTTGCCCTAATTATGAAGGATTGGGGGTACAACATGAAACAGAAGAATGGAGAAGACTATAAGGAATCGGTGATAAAAACAATGTGGAACGTGACCGCCAAGCAGCTTCAAAAATTGTATTTTCAAGAATTCGGTGTAAGGTTTGATCCATTTTATGACGTGGAGTTTAAACAAAGTCGCGCCGCCCGAGACACCAAAAGACGTGAACTGCAGAAGCTGCCTGAAAAACGGAAGTGCAGCTCATCTGCCCTGAGTGATGCGGAATATAAAGATATTGTTTCAAAGCTCGACGAGGATACACCTGACGGTTTGAAACGAAAATTCTACTACATTGCTAGCTATGTAGCACGACGAGGTAAGCAATTCCGGCGTCTGGTCCGGAAGAATAGAATACAACCCAGTATTTAGTAAGACTGCACAAGGTGGAGGTCGGAAACTAGCAGACAGCAAATGGCTGGTAGCTAACACCGAGAAGTCGGAATTTTATCCTGTGAGGTATCAATTGTTATTTTGTAAAATTACAAGTTTATTTAGTATCATCTGAATAATTCAGGTTATTCAAGAAGCTCCTGAGTAAGACAGGACCAAATGTTACTACAAACAGGCTGTTCCTGACTCCCAACCCACTATGGAAGGATCCTTCTTCCGTTGGCTGGTACAAAAATTCTCCTGTTGGAAAAAATCAAATAGGGAAATGGACGAAATCTGATGCGAAACAAATCGGCGTTGATACAACAATAACGAAAATCACCAATCACTCTTTGAGATCCTCAGCAGTCTCCCATTTGGCAAGAGGGGGTGTTGGCGAAGAGCAGTTAATAAAGATTACTGGACATGCGAGCACAGCTTCCATTAAGCCCTACCTCCAGCTGGATTCATGTCATCATGCTAAAATAATAGGAAAAATGAGGAATGAAGCATCATCGTCCACTTATTCTTCAACTTTAATTACAAGTTCCAGCTCATCGAGCTCCTCAACAAATCTTGAAAAAGAGTGTGACGTTAGCGCAAAAAAACCTAGAATTATGAATTTTTATAATTGTACCTTTCATAGCAATCAATTTT